TGAAACACGTGCCGAGATTTCGAGAACAATGATAACTATATTACCTCGGCTCTTGACAAAGTATGCGCCTGATGCGGTACGAGTAGCCGAGGTTTTGCGAATTCCCCAAATAATGGATTTGTCTGTGTATTCGGATCTTCGTATGCAAAAGGTAGGAATTTGGTAAAACTATTAGTCGATATATTAAATGGATGTGATCAACTCTTTGGTAGAAATAATGAACCCAGTTTTGTTTCTTCAGGCTTATGAGCTGCTAGTTGAAGACATCAAGAAGCTTTTTCTCAAACACACGCATCCTGTCGTCCTTAACAATGCCTCTTCAACCTTTCAATATATGAGGCAGTATAAAACATTTGCTTCTGTGGTAGAGACCTGCCTTGGAGAATTGCAAGAGGAAGTGACAAAGATTTTCCTCGATGAATGTGGAAAATATGTAAGTCATTGAAAATTTTGCGGTGGGATGAATTTGTGATGATTGTGTGTTTTTTTTTTTTAAGCACTTTAACTTTGCCATATAGGACTTGTTGGAAATGGATCTATCCAGCGATCAAGTTCATTCTCTAAGTGTCGCTCTCAGTCGTTTAGAACAATTAATTACCGTTGTTAATGTGGTCGAGGAAAACAATGAGAATCAAAGTGAGGTTTATAAGTTTATTATCAAGTTGGTTGAAAGAGGTTCATTGGGTAATTCTGACGAAGAGAAGGTTATTATCTTTCGATTAATAGTTATTTAATTTAATCTTGGATCGTATGGATACAAATTGATTTTCTTTTCTTTTCTTGCAGATGGTCACATCAGCAATAAACTTTCTTTGGTATTACCTATTGTGGAAAGTAGAGAATATTTCTTCGAAAGAACATGCTAAGGATGTGACATCTGATTTCTTGGACGAATTTATCGTAAAGAGAGATCAAATAGTCAAAATATTACTTGAAGTTGGCGTTGATATGTCATCGAAATCACTAAGCGATGTTAAATTAGCAGTATGGTCCATTTACTATTTTTTTTTTTAAAACAGAATCGCTTGTTATGTTCTTAAATGCAAAATCATTCTAATGTTTGAAACAGGCATTTCGCGCTTTGGGAAATATATATTGGCTTTTCTCAAGTGATCTGTTCC